TAATTAATTAATCAATTCCACATAGTATCTTGCATTAAATAAAGACTAGAATTGAATTAAATAATTGTTGGTTGATCACTTAAGCCAAGGCGAATCTTGTTTATTTATTGTTCTTTCACGAATATTATTAAATAAGAATAACGACTTTTGAAATGTAATTCCTACGTGAATTAATGCTTGTAAATAAAATCAACTACCATAGTTTTAGGTATAGCGTTACATATATTGTTTGGTGATGAAATTATGAAAAAGGAAGAGCTAGTAGAGGCCGTACTAGGGCTAGGATAACGATTCCCCTCTAAAAGGAACGTTATCTTAGTACCCTCGCTCCCGAACTCATTTCTGGTTTATAGTCCAATTTGGGCATGGGTAAACTTATGATTTGTGATAATTACTCCATGAAATCCACATGGAAGAAAGGCATGAACGAGGTTTATGAGTTTTTCCTAAAACCATTGGCGACTCCTACTTGTTTCTTATAAAAAAGCGTGATGTTAGAATCAATTCTAATTCAAGGTCCCCTAAACAGTCAGGAATTCAAATCCTACTACACCTTAACAAGTGTAAAGTCCTAGGCTATTAAGTGGCCAAGGGCATTTAAGGAGAGTACCCCTTACGATGGGATCACCCTCCTTACACTTTGTATATGCTTTTTCATGTTCTATATCTTGAAAAACTCTAAAATGATTTTTGTTTCTATCAAGGAAAATTTGCAATGTATCTTTTTTTTTTTTGTTTTTGCTTTGTACATAATACTTGTAGACTTGTATAGTTGAATGCTTTTCTTCTTAAATGGTAATGGTGTGTATGGTTTGAGAGTATGTTTGGTTGATTCTAGGATAAAGTATGCTAAGTTAGTCGATTAGAACTATTGGGACCTTGAAGCCAGATTCTATTGTTTTTAAAAAATTACAATTGCTCCCTTTAGGTGAATTTGAAGCTAATAGTGAGTTTTTGCTACAACCTTGTGAGATTTCATGATTTTCAAGTCTTCTTCAATTACTTGCATGAGCGGCATAGATCCTTGACTATTGCGGACCTAATCTTGAATCTTGACTCATAATTCTCAAACACGAGACCGAACCGTTTAGAAAGGACAAAGGCATCTTTTTGGGGTGGTAATTTTTCTTTTTCTAGGTTAATCTTCTTTATTTTTAGTTCATTTGGTTTACATTTGCCTTCTTGCTAACCATTTGAGCCTTTTCCTTTCTTTTCAAGCCACATATTTAGAACTTTTAGCCTTTTGTTTCTTTTTGTTCCATTTTTTGTTTTTGTGAAGCAAATGATCATGTTCTTGGAAGTTTGTGGTATATAAGTATGGATATTGGTTCCTTTTGTAAGCAAGCTTGTGTTTTGTGTATATTTTGTGAATAATGGGAAATGAATGATGGAAAAAGCCGTTCAAAGTTAAAAAAAGGCAAGGACATAATAAATGCAAAGTTGTAAAGGACGTCCATAGTTAAAAGAGGCGAGGAAAATTGCTTTGAAAATATGAAAACAACAAAAAAAAAAGTGAAAATGAGAAAAATTCAAAAAATATTTTAATCTAAATTATTCTCCCTTTCTAAGCATTGAGGACAATGCTTCATTAAAGCTAGGGGGAGAAGCGTTTACGTTTTTTGTATATATGTTTGTGAGTACAACTTTGAATAAGCTTGGGGGTGTTAGTTTGTTTTTGTTTGGTGACTACTTGATTGTGATTCTATGAAAGACGCCTTCTTTGCTTCACTATTAGGGATACCACCAAATTTTTAAAATTTTTAGCCTACCCTCACCCTTTTTGCCTTTACGTTACAACCATTTGGAAAGACCTTTTGACCTAGAGGTTGAGTCACATATAGAGGGAGGGTATTATGAGTTAAATCCTAAGGAGAGGGGATGAAAAGTCAAGATGTCGAGAAACCTCAAATCTATTTGTTTTTCCGGTTCCTTCGAGGAACTATAGAGACGCTTACTAAAGGTAGATTTGAAGCTAATTGGGAGAATGTGCTAAAATGTTTTGAAATGAAAGTGAATTGCGTTCCATTAGTTCTCTATGCTTAGCATGACCTATGTTTCAATCAAACTTAGATATCTTAAAACGTGCACTCCCTTACTTGTATAGAAAGATTTGCATTCATTTATGTTTGTACATTTGGAAAATTCCTTTCATGAACATTTGTTTTCTTTTCTTGTATTTTGGTTTCTTCTTCATGCTTTTCCTTGTTTGTATTATTACGAGAGTTAAAGGTTAATCTCTTAGGAAACCTTTACGAGAGCATTAGTCGTCCTCTAGGGCGATCTAGGGGTTTAAATGGTTTGTCTTTAGTTGGTAAAATTGATCGTGATTCCTGCGAAAGGGAGTTAGTGTATATTCTTGTCTCTTCTTTTTATTTTTATTTTTTTAATAAGCTCATCATTTCTCCACTACAACAAATTGACTCTTGTGCCACGAATTATGCCACGGGGATACAAAATTCGTGGCATAAATTGAGCTTGCCACGGAAAAATATAGTTAAGCTAGAAACTTAAAACTCCATTGAAATATTATGCCACGAGAGAAAAATATTCGTGGCAAATTGAAACTTGTGCCACGACTATAAATTTTTTCCTGTGGTAAATAAACACTTATGCCACGATGATTATATTTCCGTGCTAAACTTACACTTATGCTACGACTAATCTTATTTATGCTGCAAAATATAACACTTTCACCAAGGATAATTTTTTCACCGTGACATTGAAATCATATTTGTGCCATGTTAAAATTAATTTTTGTAGCATGCATACATATATTAACATAAACCAATAATATTCATTTTAAGGAAAGACTAATGTTCTCAATAATTTAATGAAATTATTATATGCACAATTAAATTTAATCACAAGATACATATTATCTATAAATATTCTATAAAATGACATACAATGATTACAATTAATAGTATTTTTAATCAATTTATAAGTATATTAGAATTGATGAGTATGTAAAATGGTAAATTATACGTACAATTAAAATTGATGAATTTTGTTGTTTTCGGCAAAATATAATATGAAATATGATTATTTATTTACTACTATAATTGTAAAATATTTTTCCATGATTTCAAATAATTTATTCCAGATTAACATGAACATTAACTTATACGAAGTACAAACTACAAAGTATTGAATTCTAATTGTAAAAAATAATTAAAATGGACATTTGTTCATTATATTGATTTTTTATATGAAGTATAATGTACATACTATTTGACCTTATTTTGTGTAAAAAAAACTTATATCCTAAAATTACATACGGAGCTCAAACTAGTTGTATAAAAGTATAACTATTCAAAAAAAAAAAAGTATAACAGAAAAAAAAAAGTACAACTACTTGTTTCCATAATAAAAGGAAAAAATTAAATTCAAAAACCTTGTTTCCAGAAAGTTAGAAACCGTTCGAACGATCCCTGATTCCCAATTCAACCAACGCTCGCACAATAAGATCAATTCTTCGACAAAATTTCAAAATTAGATTAGTTAAACATGAATTAATTCTTCGTTTTTCTTATATCTAGGGTTTTAATTAATGTATCAATGTTGATTGTAGTTGCTATACTTAAATAGAGTTGTTTTCAGCAATTTCCATTTTATTTTTGCGATCTTATGCTTCAACATCGTATGGTAGCTTCATCCCCAAATTCGTGTTGTTTAATATTAATAATTTTGTACTCTATGTTAGCGTAATTCGATTTTGCCAAATAATAATTACTTCGATTAAATTTTTGTGTAGAATCTTTTTAATCTTCTGATTATTGTTTGCATGTGCTGCTATTTTTTGGCTAAATAATTAATAGTGAAGACTCTATTTTAATTAATTACGAGTGTCAAATTGTTTTCTAGACTTTATGGTTATTCTGTCAAATTTGTGACTGAATTCTTTAGTTTTCTCATATATATTAACTATGTGTAAATTTGATTAACTATATAATTTGTTAGTCTTTTCATTCTAATAGATAGGCTAAGGAAGCCAGTGTGCAGGGACGGGATCAGGAAGGGAGGGGAACAATATGCAGATAGGGTAAGAAGTAAGAGTGCAAGCAGGTAAGGGGTGTGTGTTAAAACGGGGAGAGTGCATGTGTGTTGCTAGGGAAGGGGGCAGTGTGTAGGGATGGGGATAGTCAGGGATGGGATTAGAGTGCAGGTTGGGGATAAGTTAAGTGTGCAAGCAGGGGAATGGTGTGTAAGCAGGGATAGGGCAGGTGTGCCACAAGGTGAGGGGGTAGTGATCAAGTAAGGGGGCAGGTGAGGAGGGGAGTAATGCGCAGGCAGGGAATGAGGTAGTGTGCAGGCAGGGTAGGGGGGCAGGTGTGTAGGGGGAGAGGGAAGGTTTGCACTCAGGAAGAGGGAGGTTGGTTGTAAAAATTAGGTTGGATATTTAACTTCTTTTTAAAAGGGGTGGTGTCTTTGTTGTTTCATTTGTATTATTTGACTATTTGTATTAGTTGATTCATTTGGGTCATTTTAGTTGACTTTGCTTATAAGACATAATGCTATTGATCAAAATTCAGAAGTATGATCAAATTGTGCCTCTCTCACAAAAATTCTACCAGCTGATTCAAACTTTGAGCATACCTTGTATAGCTGCAATGCTGCTTATGATAGGTGCAATGTTGTATAGTTTTTTATTTATTTATTTATTTTTTATTCTATGTTTATAATTTCCATGGTATTGCATTAATGAGCTAAGTTGGCTTGATAAATACTGCTATGCTTAATTGCTATGTACATAAAGGGCCGGGGAATGCTCATTGTCTAAAGTGACTAACCATGATTGAGGAAATGTTGCTGGAATTTAGTGGATTAGCTAAGGATTTTATTAATTGATGATAACGTGGCTAGAATATGCAATCAGTTGTATCACTAGTATAATGTAACTAGTTTTAATTTATCCTTTCATTAAGTATTCATTGTTCTAATTTGGAACTTGTGATACTCTAACTGACATTAGTTAAGAGAATCATAATTTATGGTGGTTGCTGCATAATGCATACCAGTTTTAATATTTGACTGCCCTGTGGACTCATTCTGTTTATTAGATGGTTCAAAGTCTGGTTATGGGCGAAGAGCTTAATTGCATGAAGGACAGTGGGATGACATCCATGTTATTGAGGTATGTCTACAGACTATTGATCTTCTACTCATTAACTACTCCCTCCCTCCCCAAAAGTTCGACCCTTATGGCCAAATTTTAGTCCCAAAGTGATCATGCCATTTGCATTAAAATATTCATCAATTTGCAACAGTATTTGTGCAAAATTACCTTCCCATATAAAATTTTGTTTTTCAATGTATTTTTATTACTTTCTCTCTCTTTTTTTTAAACCCCATGTAAATTTAACTTTTCAATATAATTTTACTTCATTTTATTTAACTTTCTTAATACCCACGAAATCAACACAAAAGGGTCGTTCTTTCGGAGACGGAGGGAGTACAATTCTATGCAACCTCATTTTGTTTTAACATTTTTCTTATCCCTTAGATGTTTCTCGATGTCATTTTACTCATCAAGCACCAAATTATTTCAATGATAATATAGGTGCGACCTTAGGACGAAGGAACTGCAACGTACTGTTTAATCAACACTGTCATGCTATCTTTGACTACAAATAGTGACTCCTGCGTGCGGGACATTTAGATTATCTAGATCTATTAGAAGACAAGTACGTGTTCTGCACTCAAAAACTGTGACCATTCTAAACTCAACTTTACAATGTGTTTCCCTTTGATAACTGGGGCAACTACTAGAATACCACATAATTTTCACTTGCTTAAACCCTTTTCCTAGGTTTGTACGTAAGTTTTCTTTTCATGGTGTAGATGAGTATGCAACTGTCAGTGGCTAAAGGTCATCCTTGTGACATGGGAAAAATTATTGAAGAATTGGAAGGCAAGCTACGAAACTCACTAGGTCAGGTACTATGCATGACTGAAAATTTTATGCTTTTGATAGTTTATTGGACATGCCAGTTCGATGCACACACTCCATACCTAGACGGGATTCTCTATGTAAATATGTTTGAAGTGAGCAGCTTTATACTTATGCATATGTTTGGACTGTTTTTAACTGGAGACCTTGCAGACTAGGTGGTGGACTAGGGAATGACTAGAGTTAGAGGTATTTTATGAGCAATTTGGGGTAGGAGGACGTTAGGGTTGATCAGAATCTGTTTCACCTGTCAAGTGCATTTTCAACTTTCATCTTCTATATTTATCGAAATGAAGTGTATGCTTAACTGCTTAAGAGGGTCAAAGTTGCTAGAATCAAAGGGCTCATTAGGAATGATTTTCATGCGCTGCTTTATTAGACAAGTTTGATGCACAATCTGTACTTGAAAAGCTTTGATGCATATTATATGTGTTTATTTTATCAGTTTGTGGTGTACTTCACATTGTTCAGTTTCCTATTTTTTAGTCAAATGTGGCATTTCTTTCTTATGCAATGTTCATTAAAGTTGGGTTATGTTGGTTAAATTCTTTATAAAAATTATAATATATAGTTTATTTTATTAGGCTTATATAATAATTTTTGTAACTAATTCTTTTTTATTTTTCGTTCTTGTAGGTAAAAAGGAAACTGCAAAGCACAAGTTTTACTACTATTTATTTTTATCAAATTACATATAATGTAAATATTTTTATTTTACTTCAGTAAAAGGATATGAGGGCATAACTCTTTTTTTTTCCCTGTTTTCGTGCGTGTAAGTGAATAGTACTGAATCTTACTAATTTCGGATATATATTTGTTTGTATGGATATTAAACATCCTCCAAATTTATTATGTGTTACGAAATTTATATATTGATCTCAAAAAATATCAAATTTGACTTATTTAACCTATATCTGACATTTAAATTTTTTGGCCACATGAGGCGCGACAAAGATCGGCTATACAAGGTCAGTTATATTTTGTGGCAAACAAGCATATTAGCAACGGTAATATCTGTGGTTAGCAAGTTTATTAGCCACATTATAATTTTGTAGCAAATTAGTTAGCCTCGTGAGTATCTTTTGCCACGTGAATACCCGTGGCATAAATTTCAAAATTAGCCTCGACATCCTTTTTCCCATGGCAAATTTCTTGCCTCGGCCTCTTGTGCCTCGAGAGTAAATTTCATAATTCCCGTGGCTAAACTGCATAGCCACGGGAATTTTAAACTTGTGCCACGATTTCTCTCGTGGCATAAAAGTCGATTTGTTGTAGTGCTCCCTTGGTTATATTTTGCTCGAGGACGAGCAAAAGGTAAGCTTGGGGGAATTTGATGGGTGTCATAAATGACACCCATTTGATGAGCATTTAGTTTGTTTTTACTTTCTTTTCATAGCTTTCTTTCTTAATAAATGTTTAGTTTTATGCATTTGCTCTTGGTTTTACCTTACCGCTCTTATTTTATAGCTTTTGTGCATTCTGTTGGTTTTTCTACTCTTTTCTCCTTTACTTGTTTTATCTTCATGGTTATAGGTTTTGTACGAGTTCCGGTGTAGACACCCATTTGTGTCTCCCCAAAACCAAACCTAGTGATGAACACCTTTCTCGTCGAATCATAATCGAATGAAGTGAAAGTGTGGAAACTTTAGTGTTGCGGATAGTTTTAATTTCTTTTTTTCTTCTCTCTGTTTTTGAAAACTTAATTTTAAGAAAATAGCCAATCCAATTTAATTCGTCCATGATATGAGTCCAATAGTAGTGTAATTGGATGGGGCTTGACAAGAGGTTTTCAACGATATAGTATAAGCCCAATTCCGATGAATATTGAGGAAGTTATGGCCAATTTACTAAACTGGGCCCGTTTTGAGCCTTATATGCGGCCCAATGATATAAAGGGGGACCTAATATAGAATTATCATTCCTAATGCAATTAGGAATGGTTTTAGTCTTCTAGATTCTTCTAGAAGATTCTTTTCATTCCTAATTAAATTAGCATTGATAATCAAAGAGCATTTTTGAGGGAAATACAATTTTATCCTCCTGTACGACAATTTTTATTTGATTTTAAGAAAACGCGTGATTTTTCAGATCAGCGCTAAACGCCAGCTGTAGCGCTTGGCGCCTGGCGCCAATAGCCAGCGTTGGCGATGATCAGGTTTTACGTGCGCCAGAACTCTGTTTTGATATTTTATCTTTTGGCTGATTTTCTTTGTAAATAACGTCGTAAAAACTCCGTTTTAATTCACCAACTCTAATCAAGATTCTCTTGATTACTCTCTCTCTCTCTCTTTTCTAAACTAGCTTCTCTCAAATATAAAAATTCCGCATTCATTAGATCTAGAAACACCTAGCCATACTCGAAGTTGCCTTCGCTCTAGACGTGAAAGGTTTAATTTCTGAGGGTTTGTCCCAAATCTCTATTTCAATTATTTAATTTAGTTGTTTTGTTTATTATTTTCCTTGAAGTTACTAACGTGTGTATTTTGTTATTAGAAAGAGGTACGAGGCATCAAAGTAAGTACTTAAATGGTTTTTATTGATGTTATGATATAGAGTTCATGCTTAGATTGTTATTTTTATTCCTAGTATCATGTCTAGGGTAACTTTAATGTCAAGTATGATTAGTATGATGCCTTTTATGTTCTTCCTAATATTTATATTTGTTAGTATCATGTTAGGGTTAAAGCTTTGAATTTTTATTGCTTAGTGACATGCTAGGGTTTTTTATAAATCTTGTTAGTATCATGCCTAGGATTTTGCTATTATTATGCTTTAACATGATTTATGATTATAATTGTTATAATTATTGTTATGATGATTATTTTTAATTATGATTGTTATGATTATAATTTTATTATTTATGATTATTATTATGTTGCTTGATGATATATTTATTGTTATTGCTTAATCACCTTTTTATGCATGTTTAAAGGGAATTTGTACTTGTAATCACGCTCAATGAGATAATTAATAATCTTGTTAGGGTTAATGTGATTATAATTCAAGTGATCACCAATAATAGCTTATTTGTGCATTAAATTCAACCAACATAGATAAACAGGTTTAGGGTTAAACCTATTGATTGCATGTTAGTTAAAAAGCGCACATGAATACGATCAGAATAAAGTAGAGGCCTATTATTAGGGCAGGTTCAATCTCTTTTAGGTTGGATTTGTACCTTCATCTTCGGACGCTATTTGGTTCAAGACCTTATGGAGTTGAAGATCTCTTGGATCGTTAAGGGGTGTAACCTTCACCCTGTGAACGGTTTAAAAGTTTCTAAAAAACTTGTTGGCGACTCTTTTGCTCTATCTTCTTTCCCTTTGGACGCCACCATACTTTAGTGTATGATCACAGTGGGGTTTAGGCTAGGGGATTAACGCTTGAAATATTCCCTACAGTTTTTGGCAACTCCGCTGGGAAGGATTTCTATTTTAATTCCTGAATTTGTTTCGGCAATGATTTAGAATGAGTGGATGAGACTCGAAACGTTCTAAGTATTTCATGTGCGTAATTTTGATTAACATTATTGTCATATGCATAAAAAAGATCTCATTGAAAAGACCATCCGTAATGAGTTAAAAACATAGGATTTTACACGTAGGAAATTTGAGAAATATCTTTCACAACTAGGACCGAAATAACACTGCACAAAACTGGAAAATTTTATAGAGCACAGAAAGCTGTTGAGGCATGTAGGAATTAGGGTCAGCAACCAAAGCATTGGCGCCATAATTTTAACTGTAGCGCCAGACGCCAGCATTGGCGCCAGGCGCTATAGCTAAAACTTGGCGCCAAGCTCTGTTTGCTGGCGCAAATTCTTCCAATACCGAGCAAGAAATATGTGTTCTAATTTCGACCAGTTTTTCGTATTGTTTGCTCGATCCTACTTCCTGATTGAGTTTTTCTCACCTTTCTGAAACCCATATGTGTTCTACATATGGACATAACCCTCTGGGAATTCATGCTCCATCTACCTGATTGAACGCTCTGAGCAACAAAGGGTACATCCGAGAATGTTGAATTCACCAAACCATGGAAGCGAGTTTTTCTAAAACTCGCAGTGTCCCATCCACTCGCGCCAACCCTTCACGGTTAGGCTTCCGCGCGGTGCATCCGGACAATTAACCATGGACCCTCTATTGACTAAACCATATCCCGAACTTTAGAAAACTAGAGCCATAGTTAGGTTGCAAACTCATTGCATCATATTGTGCCTACTTGATTAATTGTGCATTATTTGTTTTGCATATATATGTTTTATAACCGTTTGTTTGACTTGAGTTGAGATTAAATAAATTAATGACTTAAAGAACTTTGCCTAATTAATTAATTAATTTGAGTAAATAAAGTCTAATATTTTAATTAGAATTGACTTAGTACGACTTTAGGCATACCCCTGTTGATTAATATCACCGAAAACAGTCCCAGATTGAAGCTTCAGCATTGGCGCCAAAGTCTGGACTGTAGCGCCACTCTGTGGAGTGTGGCACCTGGCAACAGCTCTATGGTCTGGCGCTACACTACACAGTGCGACGCTAGTCCTTTCGTTTTGCCGACAGTTTGAATTATTGGTCGAGTCATCACCTAGTGTCTAATTAACCAGTTTGCTAATTAATTCGGTTAATTTTCGCTGTCAATAATACTTGGTTGAGTCATTAATCGAGTTTAGGCACTAAGTCCCATGATCTTACACAAGAGTCCAAGCATGTCACTTACACTCAACACACACACCAATACACACACTTTGACCATGTCTAAGAGAGTCTTGTATGCGCGTTTTTTTCTTCATTTTTTTAGTGGGGTAAGTCGGATATTAATCCTCCAATTTAAAAACTATACTTAGTTCCCTAAAAATATTTACATTATTTTTGGAAAAAATATGCACCCATTTTTTTTTCTCCTTTTTTAAAAACCGTAAAGTTAAGTCGATTTAAGTCAGGTGATTAAAACGCAAAATGGTTTAAATTACAGCGCGTGGTCAAGAAAGGAAGGACGGTTAATCAAAGATAACCTTTTCATACAAGTCCAACTTTTCGACAAACCCATAGCT